ACTTGGCATCGTCAGAAAGGTCGGCAACCAGGGCGGCTCCGAGGCGTACAGGAGGCTGCGCTACCAGTGCGACCCGCAGAACGTGGGTAGCATCCTCTCGCGGCTGATGAAGGCGTTGGAGTTCGGTTTCGGCGGCGAGTCGGAGTTCCTGGACAACCTCGCGAAGTTCGAGAACCTGATCGAGGAGTGCGAGAAGTTGGCCAAGTAGACCCTCAGCGACAACATTCGCTCTGCGGTGCTGATCACGCGAGCTCGGCGTTGAAGCATCGCGCCCTCTTGTCGATCCCGAAGGAAGACATCGAGTGGAACACGATCAAGAAGGTCACGTCAGACTACCTGCCGACGAAGCAGTCCATGCCTGGAGGGCCCGCGCCGATGGGCGTCGGCTGGGCCCAAACAAGCGGCAAGTGGGACCGACGGCCTTGCAAGTGCGCCGACAGGAAAGGCGGCAAGGGTAGAGACTCAAATGGCAATGGTAAGGACTCGAAAGGCCAGGGCAAGGACAGAGGCGACGAGGGCGGCAAGGATGACGGCAAGCCGAAGTTCCAGGGGCACTGTGGTCGACGCGGTAAGTCGGGCCACAAACAGAAGGATTGCCGCCCCAAGACCAACGAGGTGGACACGGGCGACTGGGGCAGCTGGAACGAGGGCTGGAACACCGACGACAGGGGCAAGGGCTGGGGTGGCCAGCAGGGCCAGGGCCAGGGCGAGCCCGCTCCAGCGCAGCCCAGCAAGGAGACCACCACTACTGTGGCACGGCCGCATCGGTTGAGTGCCAGGTGTGCGACGACGAGTCGGCCTGGATCTTCGCGGTCGGCACGTGCGACGGCTCGAAGGGCACGCGCGTGGGACAGGTGGTCGACGTGATGGTCGACGCAGGCGCGAATCGGTCGGTGCGCGGTCCGAAGGACTCCCCAGACTACCCGACATCCAGGGCGCGAAGCTGGAGATGAAGGTCGCGAATGGGGCGAAGATCAGGCGCTGCGGCGACAAGCAGGTGAACCCGAAGACGGAGTCCGACGACGAAATTAATGTGAAATTCCACGTGGCAGACGTGATGAGGCCGACCCTGAGCGTGACCAGTATCAACATTGCAGGCGCTGGAGTGGAGCTCCCGCCATCCAGTGCGAGGGGCTCGGCTTCGATCGCGAGGGATTCGAAGAGCGGTCGCAAACGGCTTGGGCTGATTGAGGCGTTCGGGCTGTTCTTCTTGCGCGCGACCGTCATGGCCTGCGCGGGGGCGAAGCGCGGAGCGCGCGGTCTGGTCGCCAAGAGCGCGGCCACGGACGACGCGACCCCGTTCCTGGCTCAGGAGGTCGACCAGCCCATCGAGCTGGCTGTGAGGATGGAGGCTACGGCGGTGACGGTGCCGAGGGAACCCGCGAAGGCGGAGAGAGAGGCCCACGAGGCCACCCATTGCCCATGCGCTGCGCGGTTCGCGGACTGCGTGGCAGGTCGAGGGTTAGACGATCGACGCGAGAGGCTCGCGGAGGTAGAAGGCGCGCCTGTGGTCCAGATCGGTTGCATGTTCGGCCAGGCGCGTCGTTGCGAGAGGGTGCACCCAGTCAAGAAGCCGATAGACAACGTATACCACGCTACGGCTTCAGTTTGGTGTGTGGCGAAGGGCAGTCGAGACATGTTTGTGGTCAAGTGCCTCAGGCGCTACGTGGAGAAGCTGGGGCACGAGAAGGTGACCGTGCAGTGCGACCCCGAGAACGCGGCCAAGGATGTGGCGATCAAGGTTTCTCGGGGTGTCGGCAAAAAGGCGTCGTTCAGAACTGCCCCGAAGACGAGCAAGGGCAGCGGCGGCGTCGTGGGGGGGTTCCACGCGTTCATCGAAGGGATGACGAGGACCTGGAGGAGAGCCATCGGGGACAAGTGCGGGATCGTGATTGAGCTGAGGCACCCGATCATGGCATGGATCGTGCGCCGCGCGTCGTGGACGCGCGATCGGTTTCTGGTCCGCCGCTCGGGCTACAAGACGTCGTTCGAGCGCCAGAACGAGAATCGCCACGATAAGAAGGTCGTTCCTCTTGGCGAGACAATGATGCGGGGGCAGCCCCGGCCCGTCGCGGCGAGGTTCGAGACCGCATGGGGCTGCGGGATCTACCTGGGGAGGTCGCTGGAGGACGACGCCCGCATTTGCGGTGCGCGCCAGGGCATCATCATGGCGAGGTCCGTGCGGAGGCTCGTGGAGAGCGAGCGCTACGACAAGCAGCTGTCCCTGGCCACGCGAGGCGCCCCATCGGGCCTGAAGGCGGCCAACGCGTCGGCGCCCGTGGTGGGCGGGGAGGCCCCGAACCTCAACCTGCCGCAGCCCGCTCGGTTTCCACGGCCCGAGGCGGGCGCAGCGGCGCAGGGGGCAGCCGGCAGCGGGCAGCCGGGAGGGGCAGCCAGCCCCGGGTCGCCCGAGCCTGCCTGGCTCTGAGGTGGCGGCTGCGAGGCCGCAGGAGGGGAAGGCCAAGACGCCCGAGACGACCGTCGACGCCAACATGGGCGACGTCGGGGACGACGACCCCCAGCCCGTGGAGAGGAGGCCGAGGGGAAGACCACCTGCGCGAGTGCTGCCGAACCCGATGTCGGCGGAGTTCACGCCGGGGTGCAGTGGGTGCGTCGGGATATCATGCCGGCGTTCCAACTGGTGCCTGGAAAGGAGGGGGGCGCCTCCCGACGCACCGCTCGGCAAGCGGGCCGCTGCGGAGGACGCCGAGCCCGCGCCTGAACCCGAGAGGACGGCGGGGAGCGAGGAGCCACAGAGCTCGGCTGGCAAGAGATCCAGCGACGACAGCGGCGCGCCTGCAGAAGGCGAGGCGCCGCCCAAGGAGAGGAATATCGGCGCGGTGACGATCGCCAACGTGACGGAGCTGGGCCACCCTGGTGGCACCGAGCTCCACGCCCCTGCGAGCTCGACCCGAACTTCGAGCTGCTGGGGGGGGCCTACTACGACGACGATGACGGCGAGCACTTCGACCCGAACCAGGTCCACGAGGGGATCAAGAGGGAGGCGAAGTCCATGGAGTCCCTCGGCGTCGGGGGCCCCGTGCTGCGCCCGTGCGGCAAGAAGGCGTGGGGCACGAGGTGGTGCCACCGCGAGGAGGGCGACGGCGTGTGGAGCAGGTTCGTCGCGGGGCAGTTCAAGGACGCGAAGGCAGGCGACTTCTTCGCCTGCGCTTCGAGGGCGGGGGCCGTGAGGGCGCTGATGGCGGCGGCGCTGCTGCTCAAGCACGTGATCGCGACGACGGACTTCAGCGCGGCCTTCATGCGCGCGCCCGTGAAGGACGGGGCGGATATCTACGTGGAGATGCCGCCTGAGTGCGGCATGGGACGTGGATTCGCGTGGGAGCTGAAGAAGTCTCTCTACGGGCTCAGAGAGGCAGCACTTCGATCCCAGGAGTATCTGGAGAGCATCGTGGTTGGCCTTGGCTTCGAGATGTGCGCGGCGGAGCCCGCCGCATATCATGGCCTCGAGAAGGGGATCAGGGTCGTGATCAACACGGGCGATCTTCTTGCCTCTGGTCCAGCGCGGCGTGTTCTCGACGAGTGCTTCGACAAGCTCGCGGAGCACCTCGTGATCGAGGGCCGCTTCGTCCTGGGCGGGGACCCCGTGATCTACCTCGGTTCGTCGTTGCAGCGGTTCGACGACGTGATCGTGGATAATAGCAAGCCCGGGCACGTGGGGCATCCTCGAGGCCGCGGGGGTGCCTGACTGCCGGCCTGTGGGCGCGGCAGGCGTCGGGCCAGACCTGACCGAGCCTGGCGCGGAGGAACCGCTAAAGAGCGAGGAGCACTCGCTGTATCGGAGGTGTTGTGGGAAAATCCAGTACGCCATCCCCAGGAGGCTGGGCGTGATGTACCCGCTGAAGGAGCTTGGTCGGCGGCTGAGCGAGCCGCGGAAGGCCGACATGAAGTGCCTGAAGCACCTCCTCCGCTACCTCAACGGGGCCCGCGACATGGCGATGGCCCACCGGCTTTCCAATGACTGGAGGCGACTCCGAGGTTGCACCGGCTCGGACTTGGCAGGGTGCCACGAGACCAGGAAGTCGACCTGCTGCGGGATCGTGCGCTGGTGCGGTGTGGCCACAAGCGCGTGCGCTCGCGCGGAGTCGGTGTTGGCCCAGTCGAGTCCCGAGGTCGAGTACCTTGGCGCAGTGGAGTTGGCGGCGGAGATGTTTTCGACGCGTCGATGGAGATCGAGCGCGACGCCTCATCCGCCATCGCCATCGCCGCGCGACGCGGTCTCGGGCGCCTGTGACATTTTGAGATGAAGTGGCTCTGGTTCCAACAGCTTGTTGGCGCGGGCCAGACCAAGATCGCGAAGGTGAAGGGCATCGAGAGACGTCGGCGCGAAGTTCCTCGGCAAGGCGGCGCTCGAGAAGTGCCGGTCCATGCTCGGCCTGGCGGCGGTCGACATGTTCGGCAGTGCGGTGGTCGCGGCGCTGAGCGCAGGGAGATCGGCGCGATTTCTGGCGACTTTCATGATCCTGGTGAGCGGCGCGAGAGCGCAACCTGACCAAGACAGAGGAGGATTCGAGCCGCACATGATGGTCATGTTCGCCTGGGCCCTGAGCTGCGTCCTTATCGGGCTGCTGTTCGGCTGCCTATGCGGGCACTTCAGGGCGTGCTCGACGAATGCGACGACGCCGACGGGACCGACTGCGTCGAGTTCTTCGTCTACGGAGATGCCAGCGGGGCTGACGGTCGAGACGGCGACGGCGGAGGCGACGGAGCCGACGCCGGTACCGCCGCCGCCTGTGACCGGGGAGGTCGGGTCACAGACGGACGGCGAGAGCGCGGGTCATCGAGGCCTGGGGGCGGTGCTCGGTTTCGCGGAGGGCGCCCGCGAATGCAGCTGGCATGCCACCTCGACGACCATGCGGCCATGGTCCACGTGGCGCCGAACTGCCCAGCGCTGGCCAATCGGGCGAGGTGGATGGTCACGCGCGGGACGTGCTCGGTCCGTTGCGCCGTTTTGCCGGCAGAGCGGGCGACGCTGTGCCGCGCGGACAGCCCAGAGACGCTAGGATTCTGCGACCACGGCTGCCGCGGACTGAGCGGCCGCAGGAGGCGGCTAATCGATCGGGCCAGCTGCAGCGTCTGCTTCGGGCGGATGCAGTGGAGGCTGCCGACGGTGAGCGAGGGGGGTGTCTTGTCGGCTGAGGTGAAGACCTCGGCAAGAGGCTCGAGATATGGCCCCTGCTTCCCCCCTTCTCGTTCCTCCCATCCATTCCTCCAATCCACGCTTCTTTCTTCGCTTGCTTTACGTTTGCTGAGCTTGCTGTGCTGTAGCCGTTGTGGCTTCGAGTTCTGTTGAGAGAGAGCAGGGCTGTCGAGAAATAAGAATACGAATAATAAGATTCAGAAGACGAGTGCGAATACTAATCATAATGAGCATATCATTGCTAATGCGAAGATGAAGAAGCATGCGAATAATACTCATAACAATACGAATAATGAATAAGGAAATCGTATTAAGAATAATAATACGAATCAAACGAATCAGATTACTGTTAAGAATAAGAAGACTAAAGCTGAGAGTAATAATAATAAGGATACTCAGAAGAAGAATAATAAGGGGGGAGGATGAGGGGGGGGCGGGGGAGGAGGGGGGGGTGGATGAGGAGGAGGAGGGGGAGGGGGTGGAGGTACTGGAGAAGGAGGAGGAGGGCGGCGACCAGAAAGGCCAGAGGCCTTTTTGATGCCTCTCGGAGTCTCTTCGAATGTCTCGTGAGAGGTTCTTGGGGTTTTCTTGGGTCTTCTTTGGGGCCTTGGCGGTCCTGGGGGCCTCTTGTAGCGTCTTGGGTACCTCGGGGGAACCTCTTGTTCTTTTGTTTGCAGTTGCTTCAGGCTCGGGCAGGCCCAGGTGGGCGCCCCCGTGCCCGAGTCAGGCGAGGGGGCCCCCACCGTGCGCGGCCGCCGCCTCGCGGCGCCTTCCATGCAGCGCGCGCGGGCGGTGGCCCGCGCAGATTTTTTTGGGGCGCTCTCTTGCCCGCGCGCGCGGGCGCGTTGATTGATTTTTTTTTCTTCGCGATTTGCTGCTTGTCTTCCCTGTTCACGCATCGCCGCCATATTCGCCGATCTCGCTGCTCTCGCCCAGAGAGCGCCGCCGGAAGAGCGCGGCGCCATGGGGGAACTCGCGGCGACTGACGGCCTGGAGTCGCTCGCGGACTTCGCCTACTTGTTCGCTTCTGAACGGGGGTCCGCGGCGCGCGGGGTCAACCGCCCGGCGCGCGCCGGCTCGTGCGCTGCGAGCATCGGCGCTTTCGCCCGCGCGGCCCAAGGGCCCGCGCCTTCTCGGCCGGCGCCCCAGCCCGCGCCGGCGCCGCCGGCGTTGCCCGCGGCCGTCAGCGCGCGCAATTGCCCGCGGCTGCGGGCGCGGCGCCAGACAGGCGAGAAGGAGGATCAAAGGGCCAGGCGCGATGCCGCCGCGGAAGTGGCGCGCCTGGCCGCTGTTTGGCGCGCGGACCTCGACGACCGGCAGCGCGGGCTCGCCGCCCCGGCGCAGAACGGCCGGTTGCGCGCCGCCTCTCGCAATTCGAGACGGCGTGCCTGCGCGGTGCGTTGCGGGCGTGGGGCAGCTGGCGCGCTTGGGCGGGGCGCGAGCGTTGGGCCCTTGCGCCGCGGCCGCTTGCCTTTGGGACAGTGGGCGAGTTTGTGCTCGGCCACCAGAGCGCGCGATCTTCGGCCCGCGCGATCTGCGGCAGGCTGCGCTGGCCCCGCGACCACGCGAGCGCGCTCATTCGCCTGGAAGCGCCCCCGCCAACAGAGGATCCAGAAATGGGGGAGGGGCCTCCGCCGCAGCAGGCGGTGGCCCTGGAGCCCGAGACGCTGTTCTGTGCGGGGGATCGCACGCGGCAATGCATGGGGGCCTCAGGGAGCATGCGCCTTGCAAGCGCCGCAGTGATCGCGATGGTGTTCGGGCGCGTGCGATGCCAGGACCTCCTGCGCACCCGCCCTCTCGAGCGCCGCGAACGCGCTGTCTGGTTTTGGTGCTTCCGCGGCAAACGGTGGGGCGCCGGGCGCTCGGGGCGCGTTCGATTGGGCCCTCCCCGCCGGCCCAGCGGCGGGCCTTATGGCGGGAGAGGCGCGCCCTGGCGGATCCGCGGGCCGCGGGCGGGGGGGGCTCTGGCCTCGTCTTCGACGCAGAGACTGGGGCGCCCGTCCACCTGGGTCTTTTTAGCGCGTGGCCCAAACGCGACCTCGTGGCGGCGCTGGCAAGCGCCGAGGAGCCCGATCTGTTGACGTCATTCTCGCAGCGCCGCTTCGTGCCGACCCTCGCGCCAGGCGACCGCGCGGCGCGGCGCCTTGTTGCCCGATCATGGGCGCAATTGGAGCAAGCCAGCGGCGGTCTGAAGCCAGGCGCGCCACGAGCCGCGCGCGGGGCCGCTGGGGCTGGGGCGCCGACCATTGAACCGCCCGGCGCCATCGGCTGCGCTCGATCAGTGACCGAACTAATCACCCGTGTCCGCGAGCTAGTCAAAGCCCGCCCGCGCGTCGCCATGCCCGGCAATGCGCCTCGATCGGGCGACCAGATGCGCCGCGAGAGAGCCACGGCGTCAGCGACTAGCGAACCATTCGGGGAGGTGGCGAACGCACGCGATAGCAAATTAACCGACGCGCGCGGAACGGGTTCCTTCGGTGCCCGCCGGAGCAGCGCTGTGCATGGCCCGCGAAAATCGCAGCAGCCGAGCAGCCTCGGCGCCGGGCGGCCCGCGCGCGGAGGGGGTGGCGGCCGTTCCATTTTTTCTTATCTCGTCGCGCGCTGGCCCCGCGAAGGCCGCGCGGCGCCGGGGCCGCGAGCGGCGGGCCCTTTATGGGCGCGGATCCTCGCTGCTTAAACGGCTTGGCGAAGGTTGGTTTCTGGCGCAGCGATATAAGCGCTTGTAAGCGCGGAGCGCGCGCGAGTGACAGCGTCGGACTTCGGTCGAAATGCGGCGGCCAACGAGCGAGATTGCCGCGGCCGCCGCGCGCGCGATCCGCCGCCGCGGCGGCGCCGCCAGCCGAGAAGCCAGCTAGAATTGTTCGCGCAGGCGTCGGGGGCGCGCGCCCAGTTGCGCGCGATGTCTCTCTTCGTTGGCGGTCGAGCCTTGTCCGTGCCTCGCCGCGGCGACAGCGTGCCCGCGGACGAGCTCTTCGGCGGTAATTTGCAGCAAATTCCGTATCAGTGATAGGGTTGGCAGGTTCCTTGCCGCGGACGAGGGGCTCGCGAATCTGGGCGACTTTGTCAGTCGGTTCGGGTCCGAAGTCGTTCTCTGCGTTCGTCAGAGGCATCTTGGAACTCGGGGCCGGAGTCGGCGTGGAGACGTCGCGCCTGCTCCGGGCGTAGATCGCAGCGCGGGCGGCCTGGGTGGCGGCGGAAAGCAAGAAGCGCAAGGGCGACGATGGCCGCGATCTCGTCGCTCTCTTGCCCGCGCCCGATCTGTCCGAGATAAAGACGACGTTTGACAACCGATGCAGGCTTCGTTTCCCGGTGCACGTGGGGCCGTGCGACCAATTGGTGTCGCGGCTTGCGCGAGAGGTGTCGAGGCGCCAGCTCGGGGAATTCTTGGTTTGGAATGTGCGCGCGCTCGTGCGCCAGCCAAAGGCGCCTTGCAAGCGCCGGCGCCGCTCGGGCACGGTCGGAGCGATCGCCCGCGCCCCGCCGCGCGCCGCCGGCGCGCCCCGCCGCGCCGCGCAAGGCCGCGGCGCAGGGGCGACAGCGCAGATGAGCCGAAGGGGGCGCGTCAGGCTTGCGTCGCCGGGCATTGCATTCAAATGCAAGCCTATGCGCGCGCTCGGGCGGGGCGCGGCCCCCCTCCCGCCCCCCGCCCGCGCAGACGCGCGTGTCGCCGCGGGCGGGGTTGCAGGTTCTCGCGCCGCCCCCGACAGCCGCGGAGACGGCCGAGTTGGGCTCGACCGACGACGCGCAGGCCAGCGCGCTACATCCTTCGGGCGCTGCGCTGGACAGCACCCGCGCAATGCGCGCCGGGCGCCCCTGGACGTCCTGATGCTGGGCCATGCGCGCCTCCAGTCGCGCGCCTCCGCGCTCCCGCGCGGGCGCGCCCTGGTATGAGTGCAGCGCCGGGGCGAGGGCGGGGGGGGGCCGTGGGCCGATCGCCGCCGCTCGTCCACGCTCGCCCTCGGCAAAATGGTTAAAGAATTGCGCGAGCGCAGGGGGCTGGCGCGGGGCGCCGCCGCTGCGCCGGCGCCGGCTTCGTCGCGGCCCGCAGGCGCGCGCGGCGAGTCCGAGCCGCCGCGCCAGGGCGCAGGCGCGCGCCGGGCCCAGCTGGGCGGCGATGGTCACAAGCCGGGGGGCCGCCAGAAGGGCGGGAAGGAGGCGTGCCGCGCTTGGAACAACGGGGAATTCAGCGAGCTACGCCCGCGCGGCTTCCTCCGCGTTTCCAGCGACGTCGCGGGCAAGGGGGGGGCGGGCGCGCAACCGCGTGGCCGCGGAGTGCCGCCGCAGGACGTTTGAGCAGCCGGCCGGCGCGGCCGCCGTTGAAGCGCCCCCGCCGCGACAGACCCAGGTGTCGCGGCATTGGGCGCTACCGCCCCCCTGTGGTTTCCGCGCAGCGACGCGCGTTTAGCGCTCCGGCGAGCGTTCCCGCCAGAGTGGTTTGCTGGGATGCCGGCGCCTTGTGTGGAAGACGTAGTTAATGAAGTGCCTCTTGTTAGCATCGCCAATTGGTGCGACGACAGCGACATCGCACTGCTAGTGGGGAATGCGCTGGGCCTCCTTTCCACAGTGCGAGCGTCTGCGTCCCTGGGCCTGCGGGCGGGCTCGCTGACCAACGAGCGGGCCCTGCCGGCCGTCCTTGGGAGGGGTCTGACGAGCGAGGGCCACTTCGCCGTGCTGCCTTGCAGTTTGGCGCGGACGGGCTTCTTCCGTTTGGTGACGATGCTGACTGCGGCGCCCGCGGACTGGCAATTCGCCGCCGCGCTCGCCGCTTCCCATGCGTCGAAGATCCGCGCGTGGAGACAGCAGTGCGCGGCCGCTGTCAGGCAGATCAGCGACAGGCTCTAGCCGGTTTCCACCGCGCTGCGCGCCCGCTAATCGGCGACGGCGCGCGCGGTGGCTGGGCGCGTGAACGTGGCGCTCGCCGCAAATCTGTCTTCGATCATGGGTTGGCCCTGTGCTTCGCTGCGGGCTTCGAGCTGACGGGGCGCGTGGGGCGCGCGAGCGTTTTCGAGGCGAAAGAATGCCCTGCGCCGCAGCGCGTCGATGAGCTGCCATTGGGATCCAAGCAGCTGGTTGCCGAACTGCGCCGGGACAAACCGAGCGCGGAGGCTGACTTCTTATGCGGCCGCTGCGCTGAGGAGCGCGACGCTGGCTGGGGGGCGATCTTCTCTCTGCGCGCGAAATGGGCGCGCGCTTCGGTCGCGGCCAGTGGGCGCCCATCCTCGCGATCGTCGCTATCCGGCCGAGCGGGAAACGGCGCTGGACTGACAGCGCAAAGAGATTCCGCCACAATGAAATTCAGTGCCCCTCGGAGCAGCTGAGGATGTGCAGCGCCATCCAGCCGGCCGTCAGCGCCCGCGCCCTGCGCCGCGCGGCGGTCGCAGCTTGGGCCGACGGCAGCGGCGCCTGGGCACTGCGGTCCGGCGGCGAGGATTTACAGGACGCGTTCAGGAGCTTGCTTGTGACAGAGAGCCTTTGTGTGTCGTCATCGCGACTGCAGACCCGCGGGGCAGCGACCTGATATTTCAATCCTGCTGGGTGCTGCTCTTCGGTTGGGCATCTTCTGCGTGGCAATTCTCGCGCTGGTCTCGCTTCCTCGAGGCCGCGGCGCGGCGCGTCCTCGCGATGATGCGCGCGCGTGGCGTTGATGGCGGGAATATGGCAGATTTGACCGCGGCGCGCGGCGCCGGGCAGTCGGCGGCGAACGATGCTTTCGCGCTGCTGGGTACGCCTGCCGCCCCGAAGAAGCAGCAGCCGATGTCCTCCACGGGGCATTTCCTCGGCGTGCGACGCGACTTGTGGCGAACCGGCGCAGCGGAGCCATGCGTTGCGTCCTGGCCACGTGATGAGCAGGTGGACAAGGCTCTGGCGCTGATGCAGGCGGCGATCGCGAGCGATTCGCCGCTGCTGGGCGACGCTTCCAAACTGCGCGACATGCTCGGCTTCGCAGCCGCAGCGCTTCGGGAGGGAGTAGGCCAGGCGGCCGTGGGTTTGCTCAAACAACGCCAGTATGCTGCCGTGCCGCCGTGGTCGCTCAGCAACGCGTTGCGCCGGAGCTTCAACTTCTTCGGCGCGATCCTGCAGGGGCAGCCGCGCCAGCTAGTGCACCCGTGCGCGCCTCGCGGGCCGCTGGTGGTCATGGCCAGCGACGCCCGGGCAGACGGCGGCGGCCCTCCGACGGGGGGGCGCGTGCTCGTGGACGCAGCCGCGGGCCGCCGCGCCCGGCGCTGGTGCCCCTTCGAGCCCGCGCTGCTCGACCTCTGGGGGTGCACCCAGAAGAGACTCGACGAGGGAGGCAATCCAATCGGGACTTGCGATGGCGCGGTCGAGCGCGGTTCCGCTTCGCATCAACGCTCGCGGCGCGCGCGCAGGGTCGAGGGCCCCCCTGGCGCTCGCGCAACAGCTGCCGGCGCTCGCGAACCGGAGGCCCGCGAAGCTTCGGGGGCGGGCGACCCCGCGGGCCCGCGGTGGCCAGCGCAGGGTGATCTGGCTCGTCTACGATACCGTTTAATTTCGTAGTTTCTTCAAGGGGCGCGCGTCGCACGCCCCGCGCGATCGCGCGATGTCAATGGCCAAGTTCCTACTGGCGAGGGCGCGCCTGGGAACGGTCCCCAGCCAGGGCGAGGGCGCGCGACGGCTCCGCGCAGGGCCATGCGCGGGTCAGCATCTGGGTTGAATATCTAGATTCCAGAGGCACTGGGGCGGGCGGCATCTCGCGCGATCTATGCGTCCGCCCGCGCCCGCGGGTTTCACGCTGCGAGCGTGCAGGCGCGCCCGCCCACGCGCGCGGCGCCCCCTGGGCCATCGGGCAAGCCCGCTCGGAGGGGGGTTGATCCGAGCTTGTGGGCCACCACGACGCTCGAAGCTTGGGGAATGGCACGGGCGCTGGCCGAGGCGGCAGCCAACCTGGCCCCCCCCGGCCCGATCCGCGATGCACTGGACCTCGATGACATCCTGGACTTGGAAACCCTCCGAGGACACCCCCTTGACCCTTGAGGTGTTAGCATCTGTGATGAAAGGCAGGCCATCGGCCAGGCCCAAACTACAGCAGACGAATCAAAAAGCAGAGAGGCAAGCGGCATACAATTCATATCAGGCATCAGTCCCATGCCAGTGAGGCGAGCGATGGTGTCAGCCAACTTATTATACCCTCCACCCTGGTGACTACGAGCGTGTTCCCCTTCAGCTGTGCACGTAACCGACAGAAGCTGCACCATGGACCGGAGAAACAGGATGCCATAATTTGTAACCTCAAAACTCGGATACCCCATCAGGAACCCAAGTCTACCCATAGAGTCCAGCAGAAGAATCACGGGCACATTGCCAAGGTCAGCCTGTGCAATCCATGCCAAGGCCCATGCTGCAGCCATGATTTCCGCCGTATCAGAGATCAGAGTGGTAGGACGAGGGGAAGAGACCCATGACCCATCACATCCACAGGGACCGGATCATAGATAATACCTCGTAATGCTTTGGAACCGTCAAAGTACTCATTTACGAACACGACTGCGGGTGCGGGCGCGAATGGAAGATTCTATTTCTTGGCACCGCCAGTGCCATAGTGTAGACCAGGACACGTGAGGGAGGAAGGAGAGGGAGGAATGGAACGTGCTGCTGCAGCACTGTGGAGGTTGCTGGATGAAAATATTCAGAGAGAGAGAGAGAGAGAGAGAGAGAGAGAGAGAGAGAGAGAGAGAGAGAGAGAGAAAGAGAGAGAGAGAGAGAGAGAGAGAGAGAGAGAGAGAGAGAGAGAGAGAGAGAGAGAGAGAGAGAGAGAGAGAGAGAAGAGAGAGAGAGAGAGAGAGAGAGAGAGAGAGAGAGAGAGAAAGAGAGAGAGAGAGAGAGAGAGAAAGAGAGAGAGAGAGAGAGAGAGAGAGAGAGAAGAGAGAGAAAGAAAGAGAGAAAGAGAGAGAGAGAGAGAGAGAGAGAGAAAGAGAGAGAGAGAGAGCACTCTCACACAGCGCGTGAATTTGGAAAGGCCGTGGCCGTCGCAGCAAGGCAACAGCTTCTTGTATGGGATAAAAAGAAAATCACGTATCTCGAGCGGTCGTTGCTCAGTCGAACCCACCTCAGCTTCACCATCGACCCGATGAGGAGGCTCGTGTCTCACAAGAAAAGCAACGGCCGCTACTCGTTTCCCGACCAAGCCTCGCGAACCGCACTGCAGGAAGCTGACCAACGCGTCCTGCGACTGGGCTTTCCTGAGGCCTGTGCACGACTGGGCTCGCGACTGGGTGCCCGGCTCGGCGAGCGCCTTGGTGAACGGCTGGAGGCTCGAGGCGCACGAGAGGCCGCGGCGGCAGGGTCTTCCATGGGGGCATCGGCCGCGGGCCTGCCTGCACCAGGCGCCACAGGCGCCGCTGCTGCCACCGCTGGAGCCGTCGCCGCCGCTGTCGCCTGGGCCGCTGGTCCAGCAGCCGCATTCGCCGCCGCCACCTGCGGGGCCTCTGGGTTGGCAAAGCCCACCCGAGGCTGTGGCACAGGAACATTGACGCCTCTTCCTGCCTGGATCTGGAGCTGGTGGATGACGCCCGTCATGCCCTGCAGCTGGGCCATCATCGCCGCGATCTGAGCCTGGTGCGCCGCCAAGGCCCCCAGGGCCGTCCTGGGTGCCGGACCTGCAGGAACACCAGGCTCCCCGCCCGCGCAGCAGCAGCCGCAGCCGCCTTTGGAGGCTTCTTGGCCTCAGTCTCGGCCTGGATCAGGGCCTTCAGCTCCGTGGTGGTCTGATTCATGTGCTCGAGGTCGCGCTTCGCCTCGTCGACGTCCACGATCGCCTACTTCACTGGTCTGAAGCTCGACCAGCACACCCTCTGACTTCTGGAGGCGACGTTCGGCCCGTTCTCGAGCCTCCTCCTGCTTGCCAAGCTGTGTTTTCAGGCCCCTTGCACTTAACAGCATGGTCAGCATCGTCGCCAACTCCAGCGCTGCATCGTCGTACTCCTCTCCAGCATCGTACCTGTCGAGGATGATCGTATTCAGGGCTTCCAGGCGGGCCGAGACCTGCTCCTTTTAGGACTCCACTTCGCCATCGGTCGCCTGCGTCCCAGGAGGAACTCTCTACCGCGGATGTTGACGGGCCACTTGCGGTAGTGCAGGACGGATGTGCAGCAACTCCTTGGTCGACCTCTCGTCGCCCGTGGGGTGCACATCCTGCGAGTTCGTCGCGAGGGTCTTGTCCTTGGCAGCTGCTGAGCCGCCAGGCGCAGGCGTATCTCGGATCATCATGGCACCCTTGTCCTTCACCGCCGGCTTGTTCCTAGACTTGCCTTTGCCACGGGCACCTTCTGGAGGCGCGCTGCCCGTGCGACGAGGAGGTCGGCGCCAGGGAGGGGCTTCGAGCTGCAGCGAACCGCACTGATGGCAGTCGACCCGCTCGTGCCAGTTCTTGCAGGAACAGGTGCCACAGGACCAGGGAGATCCAGCAGGTGACCACGAGACGGCGGACTTCTTCATGATGATACCTGGTTCTCTTCGTTGTCGACTGTGATGCCGTTGTAGTAGTCGTCTTGCCGCCTCCACGCGGAGGAGTGGGCCCGAGCACGAGAGCGTTCCGCTCTGGCCCTCCTGTGCCACGCCGGCTCAAGAGCCCGGCCCGCGTGGCGGGGGCCGTCACGGCCACGGCGCAGCGCTATGGCGGGGTGCGCGCGAGCAGCGCGTGTAGCAGCTGTCCTGGAGGTGAGGGTCCGCTACCTGGTAGCACCCAAGACCCTCGAAGTGGGACGGCGGCTGACGACGACGACGCCGACGCCGACGACGACGACGGTGACCTCAGCCAGGTCTCCGCGAAGAAGCTGTCGGACCGGCCGCGGCTCTTTCGCATGCTGGGGAGGCTCTGTTCGCCC